GTTAGGCTGTCCAAATTGCATTGTATAATATGTTCTGAATTAATATGTTCTTGGGTTTTTTTTTGAAATATATATATATACATGTATTAATTCAACCTTAATCTGAGTTTCTGGACAAGAAAGAGGGTAAACAGTTGAAATTTCATTCAAAAACCTATCTTTTTTTGTCTTTTCATGGCTTATGATATGTCAAATTTGTAGTTTTCTTTATTGGTTTTGAGTGTTTATCTTAAAACTCAAGTTTCTTGGTTCTTTGCTTTTGGTGTAAATCGAACACATTTGTGGAGTCGTTTAAATTAGTTGAATTTTAAATATATTGGATCTTAAAATGTCATACAATTTTTTTCATCGATAGTTTGCAAATTGGAACCATAACTCTTATTTATTCAAATTGTATTAATATGTAAAGACCAAGTGTAACATATATCATCKTTAAATCTTATCTTATAAAACCAATGGAACTTCAAAATCATTAAAATTCATGGCTCCGCCGCATTACGCGGGTACACAACTAGTATATATATAATATTTTTTTCAAAATTTTATGACATTTTTAAATTTATATTTTATTTAAAATAAAAATATTAAGATTTTCTCAAACCACATACAAAAAACGAAATATTAAAATCAAGATGTATTTTACTGCATTATACGGGTCCTCTTCTGTTCTAGTTCTCTAATTAGCTTTAAACTGTATCGGCCCAAATAATTGGGCCTTAAATTTCTAACGTCTTGTACGGTTTTCTAAAAGCCCAAAGAGCCCAACAATTTGGTTGGTCGTAATTTACGATCATCGCCATCGGCTAGTATTTTCCTTGCCAAAACCCTCGGCGGTCGTGGTGACAATAAGCAAAATCAGATTACTTTTTTATAGATTTGCATAGAAAGCAAAGATCAAAGAAGGTGAATAACGTCTTGCTAATTTCATCCAAAAAAAAAAAATGGCTGAAAATAAAGAGATTCCGTCTCAATATGACCTGAATGCCAAGTGGGATGCCTGTCTGGATTTGGGTGTTCGTCGGTTCGTATACTCCTCCGCTACCGGTGCTTTCGCCGGCCTTCTCTTATTCCGTGAGTTCTTATTGCATTGTCAATCATTTGATCCAAATCTTCCTTTATTGGTAATTGCAATATGCCTTTTGATTTTTTGGGTAAGTGGGAATCGATGTGCTTTGATTGAATATAATAAACTATATGATGTTTTGGGCACTGCAATCAGCTTTAGGTCTATTTCATGACGATTATCGGTAGTGATTGGTTGAGAAGTTTTGAAATCGTACCTGCAATATATGTGTTCCCATTTGATATCTATTTTACCAATTGCATGAAATTGAAGCAAAAGTAGCAAAGTGTTTCTGATATGTTGGTGGGAAATATAGTTGAAAATAGGAATTTCTTATCGGAGTTATGCTTATTGAGAAGGCCTTTCATGATGTTTACAGAAAATGTGAAAGAATGTACAAGGACTTGAATAAAAGTTTTGACTTTGTGGTTATCCCTTGCTGTTTGGGGATTGTTTCTTTTGTAGATGTCATCAACTAAATTCTTTTGACATATTTGTATTCCTTTGTCTAAGAAAAATATTGTTTTGGAAGATACACTGATCACTTGTAATGCCAGCATCAATCCATCTCCATTCATGTAATCTAAGTGACCATGGAATAATTGTTTGTTGTCTTTTCTTATAGTCTATATTATTGTCAATGCAACAAAAAGAACCTAAGAAAATGCATGCATTTGATACAATATTATTAGATCATTTTCTAGGTTATGTCTTGATGTGTAAATGATGGAAGTGTTAGATTCTTATACCGAGTGGGAGTGAATGCCCAAGTGAAGGACTTGATTTGTCAGGGATGAGCTTGTGATCTAGTATCTTATATATGCATGTTGTATATCAAATGTTCTCAGTTCTTATTTCACAACTAGATGTAGGTGGGATAGACATGAGTAGCGTTTGTGAGAGTTTTGTCTGGAATGAGTCTTTTGGTCCACTTACAGGTTAGGTTGCCTAGTCGACTAGTACCCTCGAGCTTCTCTCTTTTGCTTTTTGTTGCTCCTACTTGTTCTAACCATTTTTATGGTATTGACTTTACAAACTTGATCTGCTTGTTTAATCTTATCATGGCATTGACCGTGCATACTTGATCTACTTGCTTAAGCGTATTCCATGTTATTTAGTATGTTTACTTTGTTTCCCAAGTTTTCTTTAAGTTATTTTTTAACTCTTCAAATATTCTTTTGTTGCTTCTGTTACTTCTAATGTTCGCAAAAACTTTTTCACAAGCCAATGTTTAGTTCTAATATTCATTGATCTTCCATCCATTTAGAAAACACTTGATTGCACATTTTGAAATTTGAGAAAAATTTTTGACAGTAAAATCCTGCAATCTTCTTATAGCCATTGTTTTTAAAAGTGTTAAGTCTAGCCAGGTGGTTTTGAGGGACCTTCTAATGTGCTTTATTTTCGACATGCTGATTAAGCCAACGGTTAAGCAAACATGTAAGTCATTCATTTAGTATGTGTATATAATTAAATTTTAGATCATGCAGCTATATAAGAATTACATTTTTTTATACAATTACTTTTCTAAATGATCAGTTTCTTTCTTACATGGATACTATACCCAAAAAGGATTGAAAAGATTACCTCAAAGTTGAGAAATTTTGTTTGATGAAAACAAGTTCAGAAAATTTGATTAACTTTTCGTTAATTTTGTTGAAAAAGCTTATATGTTATATCTATTAGTTGCTAATTGAGATGTAGGGAAAATTTGATTCCTATGTGGTCGGTTAAGCAGCTCTAGCTAATTAAATCATTGAGGTGACATTTAACGCCTAGGCAGTAGGCACTGTTTAAGTGGGGTTACTTAGAGCATGGCTGTATCTTATGTTTGATGTTGCTTTGTATTGACAATTTTGAAAGGAAAAAGCAAAGATCTAGTGTTCAGCAGTGCTTCCTGTGAGCTCTCTACTGCTAGTTATGCTCTATGTTTCAGAATAAGATCTAGACTCGTTTTCATTTTTTACTGGATTTTATCTGGTTACTATAAATTCTTTCGTCTGATCTCCTCAATGTTCTACAAACTCTTCAACTACATATCTCTAGTTGCCAACTTAAGGTGTAGTCGCAGCATGCATGACTTGTCTCTTTGTGCCCTTGGTTATATTTTAAGTTACAACTTCTTTGGCAATTACTGTGTCGGTAAAACATTTTTGCTGCATGTCACATAGTGTCTATACCAGCATCTTGCTCACGTCAGTCTTTATGTTGAAGTTTATTTAAGTCTCCTTTTTTGGGAATGGCAGGGACAGGCCTTTCTATCAACATGTTATCTAACCCATAATTCTAGCATATAAATTTTTTATATTAGTGAATCATTACATGTTGTAAGATTCACTTCAAATTTTCATATTTATCTCAAATGTCCATAAACAATAATAGAAACACATATCCAATTGCAAAGACATCTTTTTATGTTAGTTGAAAGAATTATATGTCCAAGTGCTAGGACACTGCCTGTATGGTATTGTTCAGGTACCAACCTCATCATCTGCAAGTCCTTGCTCGTTAACATTGTATCTGACAAGTATCTTTTTGTATTATTATAACACTAATATAGCCTTATGTATAATGAAATTATCATATAGTTATTTGTTAGAACTGATAAACTGAAGAAATTACGCCTGTCATCAAACTATGCAAAGAGCAATTCGTGACATTTTATTCAACATGCCACTCCACCCTCCTCCTTGCTCCCATCAGCCACCTTTCCATGTTCACCTTGTAAGCACTACAACACAAAACTTGCCACCACCACCATCTCACTATTGGTACATCACAAAAACCACCACTCAGCTCTCTACCTTCACACACATAATGTACTGAAAATCTATTTTTTTTGTACGTGAGATAACAATAATCGAAATCCCATGTTTTTGGTTCATTTTCCAAACTGCCTATGAAAACTTAATGTCTTTGACTGAATGACAAAAAACTGCTGTCCAACATGATTTGAAGTATTTACACAAATCTATGATACAGAATACTCCATTAACTGATTTCCACCGCTTGATCAGCTCTTTGAAACCCTAGAACTAAAGGGGCTGTATGTACTTAAGCAAACTGTGGCTTGATTCTCCAAGAATCCTATGTTTTGCAGCGGAGGTGTTGGGGGGTCCAAACAGCTCCTGTTTCTCAATCCAAATCAATTTTGTTCCATTCTGAAAATGGATATGCTGCCATTGAATACAAAGGCAAAAAGAGTCAAAGGTGAAACCGAGGAGAAGAGAATCAATAAAGGATTCTATTAAAGATTAATAATATGTTAGGATCAACACATTGTAATGGACGGAAGATGTGCAATTTGTGATCGAAGTGTTAAAAAACATTTTCTTGTGTAGTTTGGTGTTTGGAATCTTTAGTCAGTGAATGAGTTCAACCAAAACCTTTGTAATAAATAATAAGAAAAAGGTCATTCCAAGAAAGCATCTAGTGGCAAGGTCAATAGCTTGTGGCTATCAAGCCTCAGTTGAGCTTAGGAAGTCAGCTTATATGCTTTTCTTATTCCATGGTGATATATTTCTTTGCTAAATGCCGTTGCTTGCTTGAATAACACGCGACTCTCTCTCTCTCTCTCACACACACACACACATATATATACACACATAATTGGGGGCAGGGGTGAAATAGAACGCTTTCGTCACGACAGCATAAAATTATGCTGATTGCAATTTTTTGCATATATGCAGAACTAGTTTTGTTACTGCCTATAGTAATTTAAAATATTTACCAACCCAAATGGTGTTGATTTTATTGCTAGGTTCTCCTGTTACACGCTGGGCATCGATTGCTTTTGGTGCAGGAGTGGGTATTGGATCTGCATACTCAGATTGCTCGCAGAAATTTGATGGGTCGAGGGTAACATCTCCAAGTGTTGCCGAGACACCAGTTGCTAAGGTAGGTTTTTTCACCATTAAGTTATTTGTTGATGTTAATATAATCCATAATTGTTATTGCTTTGGAAGTATTACATGAATTTCTCATCTCCTTTTTTGGGTAGTGTCAACATGTATTCTGTTGTACATATTACGAAGTAGATTAATGGATTGTCATCGATCTGAAAAACTAGTTTATAGTTTTTTTTGTAGTGTTTGTGACCAATTTATTCCAACTTTAGTTCTAGGTCTAATAGTAATCTATTTGAGTAATTCTAGGTCATGTGCTATCAGATCTAATAATAATATGTACTAATGTCCCTGCTTTTTGCTAAAGTAATTTTAGGGTTTAAGTGATGCGGATAGAAGATCCTTGAACACTTGTACAACTACTTCTAATTTATTTCAAAAATAAATAAATCCTAACACCCTTAAGGTTTAAGACATATGTGAATAGGTATGGAGATATGGTGTGTGTATTATACATCACTTATACATATATATATATATATATATATATATATATATATATATAGGTCACGTGCCTGTATGTGTGTACGAGGAATTGAAAGTATCAGTTGATTTTAGAAGTTTGAACAAACAGCCATGGTGGAATGAAATACTATCCTTTTTTTATTGAGCTTCAAGATGATTTCCTTTTCGTGTTATATATGTTCTTTCAAGTTCAGTATAAAGCCTGACGGACACGAGTATAATGCCCTTAGTCCCCTTTGAGTAGCATTATACTTAACCGAAAGATACTTCTCTTTCATAATTCCCGTTCATTGACTTAAGATTCCAATGCACCAAGAAATCGAGTCTGTTGGTTTACGGTGTTTTTCATCTTTCCATTATTACATTTGTAGAGCTTTTTAATGAAGTAGTTGGGCCATTGGGACCTTGTTACTATGAAACGGTTTGTCAGGCTCCGTTTAGGGAAAAAATTACAAATGAGGAAAATGGAATTGTTTTTTCTTCTTAATTTTGAAGTATATAATTATATACGGCAAAAATCACACGCACTTCTCATATTTGGTAGGCTTGAATCCTTTATCTCTTAGAGGGGTTTGGCTCTACATGTGGCTTGGGGATTGTTGGACCAATGGCTCTTTGGTAAAAGAAAATGAAATTGTTGATATGACAAAGGATCGTATGAGAACAGGAGTTAAAGATGTGAAGTGTAAGAAGGAATTTGGACCCTTGATCACTTTTAATCCCGAAACAGCCCATGAATTGTGCTTTAGAAGGCAATCAATTTAGTGTATCTCATTAGTGTTGATCTAGTGGTTCTCTTTAATTAGGATTGATCCAAGGGTGGAGATTTCTTCTTACCCTTCTCACCATAACATTCATTCTCACCGAATCCCAACCCTTGTTGATATAGACCCTTAAACTTGGTAGTTTATATCAGCGGTGTGATGCAAATCCATTATGGTTTTGTTCATCATAACTGAAGTGGCTGGCATCTTTACTTTTTTTTTATTAACCTGGATATTCAATCCGCTATACGAGCTGATTAATCCTAGGGAAACCACCGGCTTTATGGGTAGTCCGGAATTACCGCATTTGAACCTCTGTGCCCACAAAAAGATTTTTATTCATTCTTGGATTCAAACCTAGGACCTTTAGGCACTTTTGACCTTTGGAACCCAAGCTCAACCAATCGGACACCACCCTTGTGGTTGCATCTTTACCTCTTTAGGATATAGGGGATGATAATCGTGTCAATCTTGGCCATGCATTAAAATGCAGCGATGTTTGTCTGAGGGCTGTTTACCAAATACTTACTCAGTAAGCGTTTACCAGTAAAATGCAAAACTAGTACTTACTGGGTGAGATTTTAGTCCACCAATATTCAACCGGTAAGGTAATATGACTTGGTTAGCACTTACCCGGATAAGCGTTTGGTAAACGACCCCTTAGTTCCTATTTAATGTAACCAAGGTTTTAGAAAAACGAAATGAGCCTCGAGGCTTTTTCCTTCGCCAAGGCGAGGCATAAATCCCGAGGCGGATACATATATGTACACAATATTTATACAAAATATATATGTATATATACCCAAAGACGGCATATCCAACTCACAAAAAAATATGTTTAGTGTTTACCAACAAAGGAAATATATATTATATACACACACGCCCCCGCACACGCACACACACACACACACACACACATATATATATATATATATATTTGTATACAACCATGTATACACATAACATCTGTTACAAGTCCAAAAATGCAGGAGGTACAAATTATACACACATACACACACATAAGTCCAATGAGACCTTTAGAGGTGCCCCATATTCTTTTTAAAACCATGAATGTAACGATGGTTTTTTTCCTTGATTAGTGTAACACTTGTTCAATTTGGAATGACCACGTTTTTAATTGGATGGAGCAGATTCGGAAAAAAAACTTGATAAGCCACTTTTTATATCATTAATACCAAACAGTTACATATAGCTGACTGAATAAGCTGTCTCATTAAGCTCATTAAGATGTTAACGAACATGCCCTACCTCTATGTGTGATGTAGCTTCCGTTTTTTTGTTTGTATGAAATTTATATAATTTGTGAAAGCAGTTTTACCAAGGTTCCCAAATTTTCAGGAGTGAAATGAGGATTGAAGATTGATTGTGGAAGTGTAAGAGAAGATTGTTGATGTTCAACTGAAATGAAATGGGTTTTGATTTTTAACCTTTGTATGAATTAGAAGAGTAATAAGTTGGGGGCAATGTACTCTTTTGTTACATTACTTACATATCATGTACAATCAAATATATTTGTCTAGGTGCTGCTCATTCATGAAATTCAGGTTTTTTTTTGACAATTTGTGTGTTGATTGTATGTCGGTGTTAAAACCGGGTCTAACCGTTCCTGTTGATGAACGGAACTGGATTTGACCAAGGATGTTCTGTTTTGTTACTTCGCTTTACAACTTGTCTTATTTTAGATAGGTTTTAAGGGTCGTTTGCTAAACGCTTATCCGGGTAAGCGCTTACCGGTAAAATTTTAGTCTACCAAAACGGTAGCATATGCAACGTTTGTCTTTTCTTGTAGATGGTATAGTCATAGGTTAACCTGATAAGCGCCGACTGTGATAAGACTCGGGAGTCTTCACATGTGAATCACTTATCTATATATACATTGAAAAATATATAATAAGCAACAATTACTTTTTCTCCACAACCAACCCGTTATGCAACCAATTTCTCATGATCATAAAAGCTGCTTCTGCATCCTTATCATCTTCAGCTGATGCAGGTCTATGAACAAATCCATTGCCTCTCCCTTTGAAAACCACCACCTTTGATCCCCCCACATTATGCCTCTCAATATCTTCCACCACCTTCACCGGACACAGCGGATCGTTGTCACCTGTAATGAACAGTATCGGCACCTTCACGTTAGCAGCGACAGACGGCTCGATTCTCGTGCCGTAGAACGAGACTCCGAGGCCGAAATAGCCGTCGTGATCGTCGGCAAGAACTTCAACTACTTTGCCACCACCGAAACAAAAGCCAATGATCCCGAGCTTCTTTGAGATCCCTGCAGCTACGAATTCATCCACCATCCATTTTCTTGATGTTGCAATGGATTTGCTAGCGGTTTGGCTATGAGTTGCTAGCCATGGTTCGAGCGAGGCCTTGGGGTTTTCTTTTCGCCATGGATCTCCGTTGAATAGGTCGGGTAATAGAACGCTGCATCACAAGTTCGATAACACCATGAAAGTTGGAGGAAATCGTGAGAAAGCAAAGATTATAGAACTTGAAACAAAATACACTAAAATCACCAACAGTTAGCTCCTTCCCATGGCCGAATCGCTCGATTCTGAAGTCGATTATAAGCATGATTGATCTTAAACAATGGTTCGAAGACTAATTCGAACCAAAAATATGCATCGGAGATGGAGAATGAAGATAATGAACATACTTGTAGCCGTTGCAGGCGATACGATAAGCAAAATCTCTGGTAGACGAGTCTTCAAACCCAAATACATCAGACAAGAGCAAAATACCAGTTCCATTGTTGTTCTTCACGGCGGTGAGAAGATAAGCAGGAACAGTATCAGATCCCTCACCGATAGAAACCTCAATTCCGTTCACAAGCTCACATGCCTCCTCCTCGTCGGTGCCGTCCTGGATCTGCACTTGACTGCAAGACACCAGCCGGCGACCTGTATGTTTCCGAAGCGAGGATGATCTCCGGCGACGATTTAAACTTAGATTGCAGATTTTCTGGACAATCACTGAAGCTTTACCGTCAAAATTTAGATTATATAGAGTTATACTCCAAATGCTCTAGAATTATTACAATCAAACTCCTGATAATCCATAATATGAGTTCACGAGCGAGTAAAAAAATGAGAAATCGGATACTTACAGAGATAGAAAGGTGTGGAGAGAAGCTTGGAAGTGGCGATCTGACAAGGAACCTGGAGCTGGTTGCTGCTGAAGCTGTGAAGATGGCAGAGGTTAACCCCATTTCTGGCTCCTGGTGTGCAGTCTGGATAGCGTGGATTGTGGAATGTGGCGGATGATGGAAGATATTTGCGGAGGAATGATCATGATCATAACAAATCTCTGTTCGGAAATTTTGGGCCTCATGATCGTATCTCATACTTGTTTGTTATCATATGATATGATACTTGTTATGGATGACGTGGCATATACCTATGATATTAAAAAGGTTCATCTGGTAAAGCAGGATCTTTACCCAAATACTTAACCGAAAGAGTCAACACTGTAATGTATTTTGATGTGTAAGATTTTAGTGCATCAAAACGTATTGAATGCAACAATTTATCGGGTAAGCGCTTATTTGGGTAAGAGTCGTAATCTTCTCTTACCGGGTAAGACTCTCCATCCTTTTCATCACTCTTACACGGTAAGATTTTTGGTCCTTATCATGTTCATCCGATAAGGAAATTTATTCAATAAGCACTTACCAAGTAAGCGTTTGGTAAACGGCCCCTTATTTTATTGGATAAGATTTTCTGTTATCAAAATTGATTGTTGGTAAGTGTTTTTTATCCGATAATTGTTTACGGAGTTTTCTCCATTTACCGGATAAAAAGTCTTTATCTTCATTTAGCGGGTAAGATTTTTGGTCTTTGTCATGTTTTTTATCTATTAAGATTCTATTTGTCATGCTCATCCGAAAGGTAAGAGCATCTCCAACAGATTCTCTAAAATACAGAAAATGAGGTTTTTATTCTCAATTTTGGTCGAACAGATTCTCTATATGGTTCTGTAAAATATAGAAAACTCCAGTTTTAGATAATTCTAAAAAAATTAATGTGTAAAGAAATTAATTCAAAAGGTCAAAGGTCCAACCCACTCGACGCCATTCATTATCAAAACCACAAAATGTACATTACAACGCACAACAACCGTCTTTATGAGTTGCATGGAGATCAACCATTTACACCTCTACCGAGCTTCAAGAAAATGTAAAAAACATAAAATGCACAATTCTCGTCTCTACTCCTTGGGGAACAGGAAAAGTTTGTGTACATCCTACCCCCAGACGACTTTACCTGCGTTGGGGTTCACTGGGTTTGTTTGGTTTTGTTTTTACCAGTAACGTTCTTGGTCTCACTAGTTTTTGGGTTTACCAGAGGTTATTGCATGTTCAAGGACTGAATAGCAAGCTTTGCTGCAGTCATGGAGACTATGTTGTTGATGAAACTCAGAGAGTTTTCGAGCCGTTCTAATGTCTCTTTAACGTCCATTGCTTTCAGCTTCTCGTTCTTCAACTTCATCATTTCGGATTGTGTAGATCCTGTCATAACAACATCCGACTTAATTCTATTTAAACATTTTGGAGCTACAAGCAATTAAAACCAAATCAAATCAACCCAGTATATTCCACCTAGAAGTAGGGGGTAAGATGTATGCAGATGTTAACTTTGTCCCTCCGAAGAGACAGAGAGACTGTATGTACATGTCAATACAAGTTATTGAAATTGTTTCTTGGTTTGTATGCACATGTACATACCGAACAAATTGCTTACAAATTACTTGTATGCACATGTGCATAACCTCCAAATGAGCGGCTACCAGAGTCTTCCTCAGTTTTTCATTTATTTTGCGGTTCTCCCATTGACCTAACCATATATATAGGGGAAGGTTAAACTTAACTTCTATTATGACCAGACCAGGGGATAAAGGAGAGCTCCCCCACGTGTCTCAGATATTCATTATGAATGGTGTATCATTCATCATGAATGTTTGAAAAAAAATCACGTTCATCTTTAATGATGAACGGGGGCACGTGTCACACTCTCCCTTGTCCCCTGATTCACTACAGAAAACAAGCTTGCAACTAAATTTTCCTATATATATATATATATATATATATATATATATATATATATATATATATATAGAGGAGTGATCATATGAAAACCGCTCTCATTTGTGTAAACCGTGCAAACCACCTTCATCTGTCGATTTCATTGTTTAATCTTATGAAATTTTTTCATGACATTGTTTAATCTTGTGAAATTGTTTCATATAATACTTTTTTTGATGAAGTTGTTTCATATATGGTTGTGAAATTGTTTCATATAATACTTAATGA